CTCAGTGAGCGTTCAGTGAGCGCTCAGTGAGCGGTTTTCTCTGCTGAACGCAGCCAATTGTTTGAGATCAAGCAAAGAGATTGTATACATAGGGTGCGTTCCGAGTTACATATGAAGCGCATCATTTGTTTTTGTTGTTTATCGATTAATAAAGAAGGATAAAACGATACATCCGAGCATTCATGCGTAACTCGGAACGCACCCATAGGGTAGTGGAGCTAGCTAAGACCTCTTTGAGATCAGGAGACACGGCAGTGTCTTGACAAGCGCAATGACGACATGTTATGACGCGAGACCGGCCTAAATCTTGGTAAAACACACAAATAAACACATATTATACATAAGTAACAATTACTTGTTTCAAGACCGAAAAATCATTTCGGCGCGCAATTTAAAAGACTGCATACGTCGTATATAAATTCAGACAAAATTATACAAGCACTTGAGATCCAGCTAGACGTAGTTAAAGGCATTTATTTCTATCGCTTGTGTTTCACATGTATACGGTCGGATGAGATTTGATATTTAATATTACTTGTTTCAAGTACTTTAAAAGTATATACACAAATCTATCATAAATTCATCACAAATATTAAATTTATTCAAAATATATTCAGAATCCTAAGTTTCATGCACTCATCTCAATCAAGATTATTAATAATAAATCGAGACAAATTCGATTTGCTCGTTACGTAAAGTCGTTTCTTCTTCGATCAATTTTGTAATATTCTTCAAAAGAAAACAAATTCTTGTTTGGAGTACATAAAAATAATTTTTTTTAAATTTGTAATAATTAATAAGTATATTTTAAGATTATTATCTAGAAAATATTTTTTGTTAAAGATAACTGCCGTTATTATTTAAAAAGAAAGGAGTAAATAGATGCGCAATCACTTTTCTTTGCACTAGAATAATATTTTACAGTGTGTATAGCGAAACATATTTTTCCTGATATATTTTAATCGGGCATGAGCACACACACCCACACACACACACACCTCGGTGGGTGACAACGATATTCATCCAATTACTACGGTGTCAGTGTTAAAACCCCGGTTTCATTAGCGGAATCAATATAGTCAGCAGCGACTCATCGAATCGCGCTAAAATCTCGTCGTAAATCACAGAAAATAAAACAGAATATAGCCATTTCGTGAATGGTGTCTTTTGTCGCTTTCGCTTTCCTCGACCGTGATCGTGCCGACAAATGCAACTTTAATTCGCACGTCTAAAATATCAATTCGAAAGTTATGAAACTTCTCTGACTGTCATTGATATTTTGTTAGCACTTTTATTTTTTCTTATTTCGTTTTCGAACGCGGATCCGTGGTTATCCGATCCGAACAAAATTTATGCGTCCATGGAAATCTCACGAAATTTTTTACATATCGAATTCCGAAACAAAGACAATCACGAGTTGAATCACAATGGAGGGGAACGAACGGAGTGGAAAATACGGATTATGTCCGATCGTGAACAGCACCGAGATGCTCCCGGCGCCCTCGGCAAATATCAAAACTCCAATACGAAATGAAAAGAAAACAATTTACCTGAAACCGCGGTGAAAGCTAGTGAAAGCCCCCGGCGCGAGTCGATATCCCGGACCGCGTTGAAACCGATGATGCAAATTCACACAGACGTGAATTAGTATTCGTGCGCCAGAGCATAAGCGCATCCGCGACAGCCGGCAACCGACCGTGATAAAAGCCGCAACGAACGCGATCGATGCGGTTTTTAATCTGTTGGATTAAAAGGATTATCACCTCGTCCCCGTCAGTCTCCGTTGACTTGACGAAATTTCCGATAGACCGTCAACCACGTTCGAAAACCGCCTCGACAACTTCGACTGCGCTGAATATGACGCGCTTCGCACATCGCTGGCGCGCCAACTTCATGGTGGCGACATCCGACGTTCCGCATCGGCACAGCGGAACAAATCGCAATTCGTGCTTCTGTCAAACGTATCAACCGTCAAACCTCTAATGAATCACTGTTTTATCGACTTACAAGGAAAGACGTCCGGAAGTCCTCTGATTTTGACAAGCTTGTAACCCCGGACCAACAATAGGGTTTTAAGCCTCAAGTCGTAAGAAATGGGCGAATCATAGTCGATTATTCCCCTTGGATTCCACTGTAATTGGTCAATTCCTTACGGCTTAAGTCTTAAAACACCTATTGTAGATCCGGACTAAGGGCTCTGGCACACAAAAAACTTAGGGCAGTAAGACATAAGCAGTAAGGAAATCAACATGTTGGATTCGCTACTGCTTATGTTATAGCCTTATGGACTCTACTGTGATTGGTCAATTCGCTTACTGCTTACATTTTACTGCTTAAGTTTTTTTGTGTGCCATGGCCCTAATACGTTATTCTCCAGATAAAAATAAGCGACACGTATTTTTTTATACATACCCATACGCACTTTTAGGGGGTGAGACACCCCCTTTAGAAAAAAATCGGTTTTTCTCTTTCGAAGCGAATATCGCCAGAACTGTAAGAGATAGAGAAAAATTTTCCAGAATGAAAATTGAATGGCATTAAAGGGATGCTGGAGTGACCAGGAGTGACCAAATTATCACATTACAGTCGTACAAAAATCTTCGAATTGACTGAACGGAATAAAAAATCCTTTTATAAGATTAAAGTAGACGCAAAATTAGGAGGTGCAGTGGATTTTATAAAAAATTTTTTAACTTTTTTTCGATTTTAGTACAAGGTCCACCGCAACACCTCCCTACGAATTGACTAATCGAAGAATGCTTCGAAGCGTTTGTAGCGTCAAGTGGACCGCAGCCATTATGGGCAACAAATGTTGGAAAAAATTGAACACCAACGAAAAATGCATATCTCCGATAAAAATGCGTAACTTTGATAAAAAAAAAAAGATAAAACATAATTTTTTTAGTAAGCACACATTACTTCCACATATAATGATTACGTTTACACGGTTCGATTTACGCCAAGTCATAACATCGATGTTACAAAATTGGCCAATCACAGTCATTCCATTCTTCAAAAGAATAGCTATGATTGGCTAGTTTCATACATCGATGTTGTAACTTCGGCGTAAATCGGGCCGTGTAAACGTAGTCAATGAGAAATCTATCTAAGTAATAACTTTAAAATGTTTAATCTTGTTTTGTTTGATTTTAACAATAATACAAATGTATATACTTCGAATGGGCGATATCCGTATCGGAATACTAAAAATCGATTATATCAATTCGAAGTAGATGAAGTTTTTAACCTTGTTAAAAAAAAAAAAAACGATTCTTTGTAAAGGTATCGGTTTAAAATGGCACTGTCTTGGTTGGAAAAATTGATTTTTCGCAAAATAGGTTAATTTGCAAACGAATTTTAGCGTATTGATACGCGCATCGCCCATTCCTACAATATAGACATTCGAATATAGGCGGGAATTGCTGAAAAATGGCGGACCAATCAAAACTGGCTGTCAGACTTCGCGACTCTTGCTGGGTTCACACTGCATCCGATTTTCGTCAATGGCTGCGTTCAGCAAAACGTTCATTTTGCAACTGTTGGAAGTTTCCTTCGAGCTGATTGGATCATACTTTTAGATCTAGAAGAATGGTCCTATCTCAGCAGACAATCATAAAACGGTTGCAAAACTGTTGAGTCTACTGAACGCAGCTATTATGCCAGCGTTATTATACGCAGGAAAGTGTATAGAGGCAAAAATGTGATTGGTTGTTTCCAGTATTGCTATCGCCATTATGCGCCATTATGCACGGAACACCTGATATCCTTAAGGTACCTTTTCATGCTGACGTTCGACGCTCATTTTTGGCATCAATATAAGTCACGTGATATGGTTCCTGCACACTGGACGCGGAAACGCTTGCCGCGCGGCAAAATGTGACTGCGGTAGCCAATAAGCTTACAGCTCCTAACATGTTCATTGGTTACCGCGTCGCATTTTGCCGCGCGGTAAACTTTTCCGCGTCCGGTGTGCAGGAGCCAATAGAAATTGACGAATATCAAGCGTCAATTTTGATCACGTGACCTATTTTGATGCTGAAAATGAGCTTCGAGCGTCGGCTAAAGGCGTCGTGAAAAGGCACCTTTACATCATGCCCTATGCCACAGTATATACAGTAGCGCAACTCTCTGTCGGCACCTTTGATGTTAGTGTTGGCAAAAATGGAGTGCGCATGCGCGAAATCAGTAAGTTCCCCAGT